TAACCCCCCCCCCCACTGTCCTCGTCCATAGGTGTACTATTTTTCCGTTGGGGGGTTCCTGCACCCCCCATACCCCTTCCCCCGCCCCAGAATAGGCAGTCCACTCCCTTTCTATGCCCCTGATTCTATTATATTCACTAGTTTATTCTGTTCATCAGATTATTTATTCACTTGATTTTTAGATTCACTTGTTGATAGATGTGTATTTGTTGTTCATAATTTGTATCTTTACCTTTTTCTTCTTCTTCCTCTTCTTAAAGGATACCTTTCAGCATTTCATATAATACTGGTTTGGTGGTGATGAACTCCTTTAGCTTTTTCTTATCTGTGAAGCTCTTTATCTGACCTTCAATTCTGAATGATAGCTTTGTTGGGTAAAGTAATCTAGGTTGTAGGTTCTTGCTATTCATCACTTTGAATATTTCTTGCAACTCCCTTCTGGCCTGCATAGTTTCTGTTGAGAAATCAGCTGACAGTCATATGGGTACCCCCCTGTAGGTAACTGACTTTTTTTCTCTTGCTGCTTTTAAGATTCTCTTTTTGTCTTTTGCTCTTGGCATTTTAATTATGATGTGTCTTGGTGTGGTCCTCTTTGGATTCCTTTTGTTTGGGGTTCTCTGCGCTTCCTGGACTTGTAAGTCTATTTCTTTCACCAGGTAGGGGAAGTTTTCTGTCATTATTTCTTCAAATAGGTTCAGGTGATCACTTTTAAGAAGGAGTACTACTCAGCACTCTAAAACTTAATGTTTAATGAGATTATGTCTGTAAGACCCTTGGTAAATATGAAACTACCTGGAGAAACACAAGGCACAAATTATTACTACTATTTTTAGGACTATAATCTTCAAATAAGCCAAGTCATTCCCTATTTTGTGAACATTATTCAAAATATGAAGCTTTCTGAAATGAACACCAATTTTTCTCTTCAGCCTACTTACTGCCCTAAAGCGACCCCCTAATAGAGAAACTGGGTCTGTTAAGTGTTGTTTTTTTTCCTGCTTTTTCTTTCCTGTCCTCTTATTCTCCCAGCTGTCTCAACTCAGAACCTTGTAGGAAGAGAGTTACACTTCAGAAAAATGTGTTTGCTCTGACATTTAAACAAGCCTCCATTTTGTTTTTCCATACAGAATTTTCCCCTCTTGCATTTGCAGCAGTCTCTCTGACCTGTCTTCTTTTCTGCTCATTCATTATTACTAAGGTTTTCAGATTATACCAGAGGAAGAAGACAGATTTATAAATGTGTTTCTGCCCAGCTCTTTCAAGAGTGGGACTTAACATTCTAATTGTATGCCTGTTCTCTATACACAGCTGTGCTCATCTGCTCTTATTAATGAAGTGCCTATCTCTAAGTCTTACCTTGTCTGGAAATAAATGGACTCTGTTCCTGTTCAAATTGGTTATACAGTAATCAGAGCAGCCCATCACTGGGAGGAGACATCCATTTGAATTCACTTGCTAATAGCCAGAGAGAATTTAGCCTAATTGCTTTCTTTCTTAGGTTTGCCATTTCCCTTAAGATGTCAGTACCCTAGAAAGGGATAGAAGGGATAGGAATCCTGTCCTTTTCCCCTCTGGATCCCCCCCGCCCCTCACCCACACCCTTGCAATCCTGTGTGTGTTTTTAGCTAAGATAAAGATAAAGGGACATTTTGAGGAAATTGTGTAAAAAGAATCAAAATCCACTAGTGATTGCTGTGTAATGCCTTAAAGATCTGACCACTAATAAATAATGAGATCTTTGGTAAATTACTTAGCCTTTCATTTCCTGATTTGTACAGTAGCTTTAACAACCCCTATATGGCAGGATTGTTGGGAGGACTCTGATTTCTCTTAATGGTGTGCCTTATTCAAAAAGTGATTTAAGGCTGTGAATATTTGATAAGCTAATGAGTATGAAAACACATAGCACATAATAGATGTTCAATAAATGTTTGAATTAGACTCTAATTGACTAAATCAAAGTTCTTTCCTGCCCTAATTTCATCAGACTGAGACTTCCTGAAAGGATAATGCCCTCCTCCCTCTCCCCCCAATTCCCTTCTCTGATCTGGTTTTATGACAGAGCATCATAAAATCTGATCCCAAAGAGAACAGAGGCTAAATAAGGTCTTATTTAAAAGGCATGCCCAAGAGTTCAGGGCTCGAGTCCTGTACTCCATGGTTTTATCTAAGCACTTTCTTTGTATTGACATAATAAAAGCCTACTATGGGCTAGTTATCTAATTTAAAATCTTATCATTTATTTGTTTTAATTCTGTAGTATTGATTAAAAATCTAAGGTTCGTAGAGGTTAAATGTCTTGTCCAAGATTACACTGTAGCAGAGCAAGGATTTGGACTAAGGTTTTCTAACTACAAGTCCAGTGAATTTTAGACAGCATTCTACATCTAAGAAGAAAATGAATAAAGGTGAGTTACTGCAGATAGGCCCTGGGAATGGAGTGCTGACCCAAATAGTATTATATTAGTGTGTGACCAAGATGAACAGAAGGCTAACTCTAGAGTCTCCAGACTTATTCTCTAGATACATTACATAGAAAATGTGCCTCGGGACTTCCAGTCAGAAAGACCGTGTTCGAACTTTTGACACATCCCTTCTGGTCCAAACACATAACAAGGAGTAAAATATATAAAGTGAAAATCAAAGAACATGTTTGGGCTCAAAAACAAAATAACCATCTCCAGGGATCAAAAATAGAAAAGACAGAAGTCACTGGGGCTGAAGCTGTGGGCCTGCTCTCCTCCAGATCTGGGAACAGAGAATGGTGCCTGAGCACCAACTAGATACTGAAAGTGCTTCCTAAAGAGATAGAACTAGAGGCCAGGGGAGTCAGATGCCAACCCTCAACCAGCCTCATGAAAGGAGGCTTTAACTAGTTAATTGAATAGAGGAGGAAGGAAGCCTAAGGAGTTGGGAAGAAGTATGTCTAGCTGCCTGCTGGTTCACTGACTAAAACTATGATATCCTAAATTTCTTCTAATGGCATAGGCCATTCAAAGACCTGTTCACACTAGGTCCTTAGGGGACTAGATGGGGAAAATTGCAAAAATATGAAACAGAGAAAGGGGAAATCAGTAACAAAAACATCTCACTCAAAAAGAGCCTGCAAACTGCCCTGGTCAGTTTGGCTCAGTGGTTGGTGGTTAAAGCGTCAACCCACAGGACCGAAGGGTTGTGGGTTCAATTCCTGGTCAAGGGAATGTACCTGGGTTGCAGGTTCCCCAGCCCCAGTAGGTAGGGGTGTGTGCAGGAGGCAACCAATAGATGTGTCTCTCTCACATCAATGATTCTCTCTCTCTCTCCCTCCCTCCCTCCCTCCCTCCCCCGACCCCTTCGTTCCACTCTCTCAAAACAATGGAAAAAATGTCCTTGGGTGAGGATAAGTTTTTTAAAAAAAACAGCCTACAAAACAAAATTTTATATAATAGAAAACTAACACTAAGAAAGATAACCAGTAAAATTTAACCAGGACTTACACTTTGAGGAAGATAGACATACTTTTTCCTAGTTCTCGCACTGGGAAATACAACTAAAAACCCTGTCCATTATATATAAAACAAATATAACAAGATAGTGAAAGGTGTAGAAAAGAAGGCAGACCAGCTAAGGACCTCAAGACCTGAGTAATAACATGGTGGTGAGTTCCCTGGGTTTTCCCTCTATATTCCAGATATGGAGCTGAACGTTATACTTAATGATGAAAAACTGAGTGCTTTCCCCCTAAGAGCAGAAACAAGGCAAGGATGTCTGTTTTCACTATTCTTATTCAACGCAGTGCTGGAAGTTCTAGCTATTGCAATAGTATGAGAAAAGGAAAGAAAAGGCATACAGATCAGAAAGCAAGAGATACAACTGTGCTTATTTGCACATCACATGATTGTCTACATAGAAAATCTCAATGACTAAATAAATAACTCCTAGAACTAATAAGTGATTTTAGATAGGTCATAGAATATAAGATAAACATACAAAACTCAATTGTATGTCTACTATATACTAGCTATGAACATTTGGGGACTGAATTTAAAAATGTAATAATACCATTTATAATGGCTCAAAAAAATGAAATACTTAGGTGTAAATTTAACAAAACATCTACAAGATTTGTATGCTGAAAGAAGTTAAAGATGATCTAAATAAATAGCACATAGTAAAGATGTCAATTTTTCCCAAATTGATAATGTAGGTTAATGCAATTTCTGTCAAAATTTCAGCAAGATATTTTGTAGATATAGATAAGATTATTCTAAAATAAGATTTTAAGACCTATATAGCCACAGTAATCTATGAGACTGTAATATTTGCAGAGGGATAGACACTTACTTCAATGGAACAGAGCAGAGAATGAGGAAATAGACAGATACAACCAATTGATTTTGGCAAAGATACCAAATCAATTCTTGGCATCATGAATTAACAAATGGACATCATGGACCGAGAGAGAGAGAGAGAGAATCTCATATAAAAATTGACTCAAATCAAGGACTAAAACAGAAAACTGTAAAACTTTTAGGGGAAAAAAATCTAGAAAAAAATCTTCAGTAGGCAAAGAATTCTTAGACTTACACCAAAAACATGATTCCTGAATGGCACAAAATCTTATAAATAAGTCATTGATTGGTGGATACATGAGTTTTTGTTAGGTTATTGTTTGTAATTTTTTAGTATGTTTGAAACACTGCATAATCTTTTTTAAGTTATAAAACTGTGTCTTAATTGGACACATTAAATATTTGCAGCTGTTGCCCATCTGACAGGTCCGTGGTAGTGTTGTGGGCAGTTCCCATAGAACTATTTCAGCCCAATCCTTTTTGTCCCATTGGGACCCACATTACTCCTAAACCCTCCTATAGGAGCCAGAATGCTATTCAAATGGAAAAATACTCTTTTCGGTGGTCAATAGGGTTTCTCTTGTCTATATCTGAGTCTTTTTGTCTTCCAGGGATGTTGGTAGTGAATGTAACATGGAGGAACAAGACATACGTAGGTACACTTCTTGACTGCACACGGCATGATTGGGCACCCCCCAGGTAAGCACTTTACGGCTTTTTAGTTTATGTTAGTCTGAACCACCCTAATCAGTGATCTTTTATACCTTTATCCAGGTAGGGTTGGATAGGTTTTTTGGGTTTGTTTTTTAATTTTTCTAATATATATTTTTATTGATTTCAGAGAGGAAGGGAGAGTGAGAGAGAGATAGAAACATCAATGATGAGAATCATTGATCGGCTGCCTCCTGTACACCCCACACAGAATTGAGCCCACAACCCAGGCATATACCCTGACCAGGAATCAAACCGTGACCTCCTGGTTCATAGGTTGACGCTCAACCACTGAGCCTGCTGGCCGGGCTATAGGGTTGGATAGTTTTTAAGACACCCAGCTTTAGGTTGTACACTTGAAACTAATACAATATTATATGTCAAATGTAATTGAAGAATAAAAATTATTAATTTTAAAAAAGGGAAAAATTTAAGAAATTAACAGCATCTCCTAGCAGTATTTTTCACCTTAGATATAATAGATGTGTTTCTATAAAATAAAAGCATTTGCCATACAGGGGAAGGAAAAATAAAAGGCACCCAGCTTTTAAAGGACATTATGGTGTAGAGACAAAGGGAGCCACTATATTTATCTGGCATTCAAGAATAAATTAATCAGGCCCCGGTCGGTGCTGCTCAGTGGTAGAGCGTCAGCCCACAGACCAAAAGGTTGCAGGTTCAATTCCAGGTTCAATTCCCGGTCAAGGGCACACACACAAAAAAAGAAAAAGAATAAATGAGTTAGGTGTTGATGGGTTGGGTAGAAGTGGGTGGAGATTCTACTTAAGTCTTCATCTGTAATTATTGAATTCTGACTGCTATCTGTAGTCACTTTGAGACTCCGTGTCTGAAAGGTCATTAGAGTCTGACTATCAGTGTGCAAACATTCATTGATGATCCTTTTTGATGGTAGCTATCTCTGAAAAGTTTAAACTCAAAAACATTTTGGGTTTTTTTTTAAACTACTGGACACTGTTGGTTTCACAAGGACCTTTTCAAATTGCAATTTGATCTTAAGATTGGCATTTCAGTGAATGGCACCTTATAGCTTATTCCTAATATTAGTTTGAAGTTTGCTAGGCTTTGGGGAACCCAAATGTTGGGGAATAATTTACAGCTAGTATGCAGAAAGCATTCTAGGAGCTCACCACTTAATTGCAGTTCCCACTCTTTCAGAAGTTCCTTTAGCAAATCATATTCATTGAAAATGATAGTTACCATCTGGACAATTCTTCTGGAGACTGCAGCTAAACTGGTTTGAAGTTGTTTTCACTTCTTAATAATATTCTATTGTGTTTGTCCTTTGCCAAGGTTCTGTGACTCTCCCACCAGTGACTTGGAAATGCGAAACGGTCGGGGTAGAGGCAAACGCATGCGTCCCAACAGTAACACACCTGTCAATGAGACAGCAACAACCTCTGACAGCAAAGGGACCAGCAGCAGCAGCAAAACCCGAGCAGGAGCCAATAGCAAAGGCCGTCGGGGCAGCCAGAATTCTTCAGAGCACCGCCCACCTGCCAGTAGCACCTCTGAGGATGTCAAGGCCAGCCCTTCCTCAGTGAATAAGCGGAAAAACAAACCCCTTTCAGACATGGAGCTGAATTCTAGCTCAGAGGACTCCAAAGGGAGCAAGCGTGTCCGTACGAATTCCATGGGCTCAGCCACTGGCCCCCTCCCTGGGACCAAGGTGGAACCCACTGTTCTAGATAGAAACTGTCCCTCCCCAGTCCTGATTGACTGTCCCCACCCAAACTGTAACAAGAAGTATAAGCACATCAATGGACTTAAGTACCATCAAGCTCACGCCCATACAGATGATGACAGCAAGCCAGAAGCAGATGGAGACAGTGAGTACGGAGAGGAGCCCACACTCCATGCAGACCTCGGGAGCTGCAATGGTGCCTCTGCCTCACAGAAAGGTTCCTTGTCCCCTGCCCGCTCAGCTACCCCCAAAGTTCGGCTCGTAGAGCCCCATAGCCCTTCTCCTTCAAGCAAATTCAGCACAAAAGGTCTGTGTAAGAAAAAGTTGAGTGGGGAAGGGGACACAGACCTTGGGGCCTTATCCAATGATGGCTCTGATGATGGACCGTCAGTTATGGATGATACAAGCAATGATGCCTTTGATTCTTTGGAAAGGAAATGTATGGAAAAAGAAAAATGTAAAAAACCCTCTTGTTTGAAACCTGAAAAGATGCCTTCCAAGAGCTTAAAGTCAGCCCGGCCCATTGCCCCGGCCATCCCCCCACAACAAATCTACACCTTCCAGACAGCCACCTTCACAGCAGCCAGCCCAGGCTCCTCCTCGGGCTTGACCACCACAGTGGTCCAAGCCATGCCCAACAGCCCCCAGCTCAAGCCCATTCAGCCCAAGCCCACTGTGATGGGAGAACCTTTCACAGTCAACCCTGCCTTGACTCCAGCCAAGGATAAGAAAAAGAAAGACAAAAAAAAGAAGGAGTCTTCAAAGGAACTTGAAAGTCCTCTGACTCCTGGCAAGGTCTGTCGAGCAGAAGAAGGCAAAAGCCCATTCAGGGAATCGTCAGGAGAAGGGATGAAAATGGAGGGGCTCCTAAATGGCTCATCAGACCCCCACCAGAGCCGACTGGCCAGCATCAAGGCTGAAGCTGATAAGATATACAGCTTCACAGACAATGCCCCCAGCCCTTCCATTGGAAGCAGTAGCCGCCTAGAGAGCACTACCCCTACCCAGCCCATGACTCCCTTACATGTAGTGACTCAGAATGGAGCTGAAGCCAGCTCCGTCAAAACCAACAGCCCTGCCTACTCCGACATCTCTGATGCTGGGGAGGACGGGGAGGGCAAAGTGGAGAGTGTCAAATCCAAGGACCCTGAGCAGTTGGTTAAGGAAGGGGCTAAGAAAACTCTTTTCCCCCCTCAGCCACAGAGCAAAGACTCCCCATATTACCAAGGCTTTGAGAGTTACTACTCTCCAAATTACGCACAGTCCAGCCCAGGGACGCTGAACCCCAGCAGCCAGGCAGGAGTGGAAGGCCAGGCCCTGAAGACAAAAAAGGATGAGGAGCCTGAGAGCATAGAGGGGAAAGCGAAGAACGATGTCTGTGAGGACAAGAAGCCAGAGCTGAGCAGTTCCAGTCAGCAGCCCTCTGTCATCCAGCAACGTCCCAACATGTACATGCAGTCCCTGTACTACAACCAGTATGCCTATGTGCCCCCCTATGGCTACAGCGACCAGAGTTACCACACCCACCTCCTGAGCACGAACACAGCTTACCGGCAGCAATATGAGGAACAGCAGAAACGGCAGAGCTTGGAGCAGCAGCAGCGGGGACTGGACAAGAAGGCAGAGTTGGGCCTGAAGGAGCGGGAGGCAGCACTCAAGGAAGAATGGAAGCAAAAGCCGTCAATTCCACCAACTCTCACCAAGGCTCCCAGCCTGACAGACCTGGTGAAGTCAGGACCCAGCAAGGCCAAGGAGCCAGGGGCTGACCCTGCCAAGTCAGTCATTATTCCCAAGTTAGATGACTCTTCCAAACTCCCCAGCCAGGCCCCAGAAACAATTAAAGTGAAACTGAGTGAGGCCAGCCACCTAGGCAAGGAGGCTTCTGAGGCTAAGTCAGGTGCTGAGTGTGGCCGACAGGCGGAGGTGGATCCAATACTCTGGTACCGACAGGTAACTGTTCTGGGAAGAAATAGAAATACTGTCTGTCTTTCTCTCTTCCTCACAATCAGGGTTGTCCTGATTTAGGAGGTCAACAGAATACAGGTTAGCAGGAGAAATCTATAATTTTAGGGATATTTTTACCTTTGTAAATCATTTTAATGTTTTTCAAAAAGCACTTTTAGCCCTAATCAGTATACTCAGTATTTAGGGCATCGGCCCATGCACCAAAGGGTCTCATTCGATTCCCAGTCTGCAGCACATACCTGGATTGCAGGTTTACTCCCCACCCCAAGTCGGGGTACCTGCAGAGGGCAAACAGTCGATGTCTCTCTCTCACATTGATGTTTTTCTCTCCCAACCTCCCTCCCTCCCTTCCACTCTCTCTGAAAAGCAATGGGAAAAAATATATATCCTCCGGTGAGAATTAACGAAAAAGTGGGGGGGGGGGCGGTACTGTTACATCAGTGAAAGGTCTTTTCCCATTTGACAAGAGAGGCCCAAAACAAAAACTGGAACCCAGCTATCTGGATTCCTAGTACAGTGTTTCTTCCAGTGTTCGGTTCCTGTGGGATGATTTCATGGTGATCTGTCCATATTTTAGAGTAGACCAGAAGTACACTACTCAAACTGTTACTTGCAAAAATATTTTATAGGAAGAGCTAGAACCAAGAACTTGGTCTCACATCTTGCTCTGCTCAAGAGACTTATTTTCTTTTTTTAATATGTTTTTATTGATTTTATAGAGAGAGGAGGAAGAGGGAGAGAGAGACAGAAACATCAATCATCTGCTTCCTGCATGTCCCCTACTGGGAATTGAGCCCACAACCTGGGCATGTGCCCTGACCCAGAATTGAACCGGAAACCATGGGATGACGCTTAACCAAATGAGCCATACCTGCCAGGGCTGCTCAAGAAACTTAAGAAAGTCTTCCCTTCCCTGTTGGTGCCACAGTTAGACCTTCCGCCCGAGTTTGCCCTGAAGAAATGAAACAACCTAAATACCCTTGGAAAGGGAGCAGCCTCTTCTGTTCAGGGAGTCATTTCTCCAGAATGCTGGTTCTCGCTGAGGAGACCCACCGGCAGATTTCCTCTTCTTTCCCCCTCTTTCTTTCTTTCCCTTGAGGCCGGGAGGGGTCAGGCTTTTTAAGCAGGAGGGACCAGAGGTCATTGTAAACGATCAATAGCGGCCACTGGCATTCTCTGCCCTGGTGTCTGCTTTGGTGTTTGCTGGGACCCTGGGCTTGAACTATCACTCACTCTCTCTCTCCTTCATTTGTGCAACACTCAGTGCTCATTCTGTGATTGTAGGAAGCTGAGCCCCGGATGTGGACATATGTTTATCCTGCCAAGTACTCAGACATCAAGTCAGAAGATGAGAGGTGGAAAGAGGAGCGGGACCGCAAATTGAAGGAGGAAAGGAGTCGGAATAAGGACTCTGTCCCCAAGGAGGATGGGAAAGAAAGCACAAGTAGTGACTGCAAGCTGCCCACTTCTGAGGAATCCCGCCTTGGGAGCAAGGAGCCCCGGCCAAGTGTCCATGTGCCTGTGTCCTCCCCCCTCACCCAGCACCAGTCCTACATCCCCTACATGCACGGCTACTCCTACAGCCAGTCCTATGACCCCAACCACCCCAGCTACCGGGGCATGCCTGCTGTGATGATGCAGAACTACCCAGGTAGGCACCACCCTTCCAGCTGGTGTTCCATGAACTGCGGGTGGAAATGAAGCAGAGATTTCAAATCCAGTTTTCTTGCTCAGTCCTAAGGCTTATTGGGGCTCAGGTAGACGACAGCCCTTTTTTGAATGTGACATTCTGTGAAGTGGCCCCTCTACACCCAACTCTTTGACCCCTAATTACAGTCTATGGAACCACCTCTACCTCCCTTGCTTCACTATTAGGTTGCCTCTATAGTCACTTTTCATGGATAACAAAAGGTAAAACTCTGTACCACTGCCATCTTCCCTCAACGAGGATTTGTTACACACACATTCTTTATTTTGCAGTGCGCTCAGGCACTGTGGAGAACGCAAACGACATAGGGAGCTTACAGCTTAATTGTAGCATGAGAGACACGTAACAAATAACATTCAAACCAGCACACTGCATGTATTCATTTACAAGATCCTGTTCAGCTGTAAGATTGGAAGGCAGGAGGGGGAAGAGCATTGGAAGTCAGATTGTGGGGAAGTTCAGCTAGAAGAGGCTGAGCTTGGGAAAGACAAGCTCTTTACACTGCCATCCTTGAGTTCTTGGGGGACACACAGTAGGAGTTTGAGTTTTTAACTTGTTAGAAGAAAATTCTCTTATTCCACTCTACTCACTGATGTCTGTTGCCTGAACAGCTATGTGTGGTGCTTCTGGGGTGAGAGAGAACTTCTGTCACTCCTTCAAGCTGCCCCTCCCTATAGGAGAGCAGCCTAAATAGTCTTGATATTCTGGCATAGCATTATAAGGACACATAAGCTTTCAGACAGATAGGAAATTGTCTCATTCCTTTCTTCTGTTGCCCCTACTCATCTCTATAAAAACAGTACTGTTGGGCCCTAACTGGTTTGGCTCAGTGGATAGAGCGTCGGCCTGCAGACTCAAGGGTCCCAGGTTTGATTCCAGTCAAGGGCATGTACCTTGGTTGCCGGCACATCCCCAGTAGGGAGTGTGTAGGAGGCAGCTGATCGATGTTTCTCTCTCATCAATGTTTCTAACTCTCTATTCTTCTCCCTTCCTCTCTGTAAAAAATCAATAAAATATATTTTTTTAAAAAAACAGTACTGTTGGATGAGTGCCTGATCTGGGCTGGGCACTGTCCTAGGTATTTATGTGCATTATCTTATTTAATCCATTGGACACCCTGTGAAATAAGATTTGGTATCTTCATTTTGGTGGTGAAGAAACTGAAGCTCAGAAAGGTTGTTAATTTGCTCAAGGCTACCCAACTGTTAAGTCTCAGTAGTAGGATTTGAGCCCAAGGCCATCTGCCTTCATATCCTATGACTTTTCCACTTCGTAGTCTCACCTGTCCAGGCTGAATCTCTGAGAGGGAAATTGATTCCCAGTAACTGCGGGTCATGTTCCTAATATCCCTAAGCTAATTTTGCCTCTAGAGCAGCCGTGGGCAAACTACGGCCCGCGGGCCGGATCCGGCCCGTTTGAAATGAATAAAACTAAAAAAAAAAAAAGACCGTACCCTTTTATGTAATGATGTTTACTTTGAATTTATATTAGTTCACACAAACACTCCATCCATGCTTTTGTTCCGGCCCTCCGGTCCAGTTTAAGAACCCATTGTGGCCCTCGAGTCAAAAAGTTTGCCCACCCCTGTTGTAGAGCTCAGTAAAGAAAGGACAAACTAATCATCTCAGCCCAAAGACACCAGGGTAGAAACTATCCCTGTGCCTATCCCTCCCAGCCACGCTCACTAACACAGAGTTTCTTCTACCTCTCCCATCTCCCTGACTGCTTTCTTTTTCCTTTCCCAGGTTCCTACCTACCTTCCAGCTACTCTTTCTCCCCATATGGCAGCAAGGTCTCAGGGGGTGAAGATGCTGACAAGGCACGAGCCAGCCCCAGTGTCAGTTGTAAATCCAGCTCAGAGTCCAAAGCCTTGGACATCTTACAGCAGCACGCCAGTCACTACAAGAGCAAGTCTCCCACGGTAAGGGAAGTTCAGTTACACTGGCTGGTCTCAAAGACCAATAGGGCTGAAATCGGGGTCCGGGAGAAGGTGGACAAGGTCAGGTCCTAACCACAGTGCAGTTGGCTCCTCCAGGCACCGCTTGATGCTTAGGTGTCCTGCATGTTTGAGGAGTCGTGATGTGGGCTCTGGCATCTTGCTCTCGTGTGTGTCTCACAATAGTGCTTTTTTGTTGCTTTCCTTTCCAGATAAGTGATAAAACTTCTCAGGAGAGAGATCGGGGAGGCTGTGGGGTGGTTGGGGGTGGTGGCAGCTGTAGCAGCATCGGAGGAGCAGGTGCCGGTGATAGGAGTGTAGACCGGCCCCGCACCTCTCCTTCCCAGCGCCTGATGTCCACACACCACCACCACCACCACTTGGGGTACTCACTGCTCCCAGCACAGTACAACTTACCCTATGCAGCAGGTAAGCCTCATTTCCCACTGCCTGCCTTTTAAACTCCATAGCAGTTGTCCACAGCAAGGAGCCCCTGGCAAGAATCAGAATCCTAGCCTCCTGCAGACCATCATTAAAGCATATGACATGTATTTCCTCCCTTGGAGCTTGGGGACTCTCAAACTTCTCCAGAAAGTTGGCTTTCATATTCAGAAGAATAAGGAACAGGTGTTCCCACAGCCAAAGAGAAACAAGCAGCTGAAAAATGGAGCCTTATTCTCTATCCCTAGCAACTGTATCTGGCCAAGTATTACACTTTTTTTCTGTCAGCACCCCAAAACTCAATAGAGTTAGGAAAGTAAGGAGAAACTCCTCCCTTCCCCACACAGCTGGTAAAGAGAAAGTGCTTAGATCAAAGGTTCTGGGAGCGCTACACTAACATGTCCTCCTCCTCACTCAGGGCTTTCTTCCACAGCCATTGTGGCCAGCCAGCAAGGCTCAACTCCCTCACTCTACCCACCGCCCCGGAGGTGAGAACGGTAAGTGATTTTTCATTTGGGGCAGCACATAGAGTAGAGATAGTTGATCACAACTATCGTGGGTCACAGAGTATCTGTGGAGCCTGGGTGAGGGATAGCTGTGTGGGGTCAGCAGTCTGGAAATGGTGGAACTGTGGCCAAGCCTCTAGTTACTAGAGTCTAGTACAAGTCTCCCGTGAAGCCACGTGCTTCTAAGAGGAGCTGTGGAACACATCCTCTAGGGCAGTGGTTCTCAACCTTCCTAATGCCGCGACCTTTAATACAGTTCCTCATGTTGTGATGACCCCCAACCATAAAATTATTTTCGTTGCTGCTTCATAACTGTCATTTTGCTATTGTTATGAGTCGTAATGTAAATATGATATGCAGGATGTATTTTCATTGTTACAAATTGAACATAATTAAAGCATAGTGACTAATCACAAAAACAATATGTAATTATATATGTTTTCCGATGGTCTTAGGCGACCCCTGTGAAAGGGTCGTTCGACCCCCAAAGGGGTCGCGACCCACAGGTTGAGAACCGCTGGTCTAGGGAGAGCAGTAGCAGCAGTAGCTGCCTCCCCCACAGTTCATTTTCTTGGAGCGCCACCCTGTGGTTGTTGTGCCAGCCGCTGAGTGCCTGGTTATCTGTCCATGTTTCCCTTACAGAACACCAAGTGCCGGGATAAAGTCAGCTTCACGGGCCAGACTGGCTCACCCAAGGAGGTGCTGGAGGTGCCATTAATACATCAGTTAAATGGTGTTGATCATCCTGTTTGCCGTGTTCCCACCATGACCGAAGGCAGACCCTTGGCTATCTCGCCTCCACCAGGTCCCGGACTCCCCCACCCTCCCTCTTCCTCAGAAGCTGGAGAGCTGGTACTTAGCAAAAATATTTATTCTCTTGGCCACATTTGTGACTGTTGTGGCCTCTGTGGAGATGAAGGCATGGGGAGCAACCAGGGAAACATGGCCTCAGCCCAGAGAAGTCACTGCTCTGTTCCCCAGCCCCTGGTCAGCTGCCGGAGGAGTACCAGCCCCCCCAGGGAGGGACCCCCAAGCACTGGGTAAGGTCTGAAGACAGCACAGCAGCCATTCCCTCTCACCATCATTACCACCACCACCAGATCCTGCATCTCCCCAGTGGTTTGAGCCCTGGGAACTGACAGCACGTGGAGAAATTAGAATCTCAGGAAAGAAATTGGGGGCTGTTTTCTCTATAATTGTGAAAACAAGGTCTTCAAACCTGAAGACTTCTCCCCTCTCACATGAGCACATATAAATGCTCAGAGCCCAGCCTGGAAAAGAAGACCATGGTACTTGCCCAGCATGGCCTTGGGCTGCTGGTCAGGCAGAGGGCTGGGGGTCCCCACACCAGCACAGGGCTCCCCAGGGGTACTGGGAGTAAGCTGGAGCTGGAGCATGAATGGAGTCTGTGAAATAGAACTGCATCCCCACTAAGTCCTGCTGCTTCTTAGCCCTCAACACCTGGCCCTTTCTCTCTTCCCTCCTGACCCCTGTGCCCAGGGGGATTCTCACACTGATCTCTCCTCTTCTTTTCCACTGCTTGGCTCTTAAGACTCAGGCAGGTATAATAGTATTCCCCGGCCTGGGGAGCTTCGGAGTCTGCCAGGGGTCCTCAGGGCAAGGCCCGGGGGGCAGTTCTTAAAAAATGTCCTGTCCATTCAGCCATCATTTAGGGTCACAAATATATACAGCCAGGTTCCTCTGTATACAAGTATATGGTTTTATATAGCTCAGTCTATAACCCCATGTGTGCCAATATGAGCCGTGTCTTTGTAACACACGTTTTTGTTTTAGGAGACACTGCCCATGGGAGGTTATGTGTTCTTTAGACCTGGGGTAACATATTCAAGCCATTACTCCTCTGAGCCACAGAGTGTACTCAGTGGGAGCTGTGCTTTGAGGCAGCAGACATTTCTCTGCTCTCTCAGTCCAGGCTCTGTGCTCTTTGTACTGGGAAGGGACAATGCTTTGGTAGCTTTATTGGAGTCACTTCTTCCCCATGGGGTGGGAAGCTTTAGCTCTTACTTTGCTTTTGAGGTATCATCCCTTTGTTCTTCTCCTCTCCTATCTGTCCTTGACCTGGATTGACAGAAAAAAAAGACTGACAGACACCAGCCTAGGCTACACAGGGGTATTAGTGACCAGAGTGCCAAAAGTGACCATTTAAAGCAGGTACTTGGCTCTGACAGTGTGGGGCATGGAGGTGGAGGGCAGTTAGCACAATGTCCAGCAAAGGCTGCTTTCCAAGGTCCCAGAGCCCTACTCTAGAGAGGCTTAGGGTCATTTGCCCAAGAGGAGCCCCTCTGACCTATAGACCTTTCCTCTAGGTTTCACATTCTTGTTTTTATTCAAGTTGGATTCTGAGCCCATCCAAAAATCTCACCATTTTAGACCTCTTAGCAGGCCCCCAAGAAGCCTCCCTCTCCTCCATCATTCCCTCTGCCTCCTGCTGCCCCAGTGGGCAGTGCTCTGAACAGTGGAAGTGACACCCCACCTAACCTGAGTCACCACTAAGAGGATGACTGAATTTCAGCCTGATTATGCCCTCCCACACTCCTGTGGGGTGAAGCCAAGGGCCTGTCTCTGTTCCTGTTTGTTTTTAAATACTGTTGTGTGTTTTGTAACTGTGGCGCTGGCTTGCAGCGTGATCTGTACATATTGTAAAGAAACCGTTTCAGGCAGGCATGGTCTGCATTCCTGCCCTTTCCACTTTGTTCTGTAACACAGAGGAGAAGAAATTTCGAATTAGCAGGGCAGCCTTGGGTTCTACAGAAGGGAACAGCTTTTTCTTTTGTTTTCTTTTCTTTTGTTTTCTTTTCCCCTATAAAACTTTTGGCTCTTGGATCCTTATATCCAAGTCTCCCTTGAAGAGTGGGAGCTGAGCTGCCCAGGAATGGCAGAATAGCACTGCCTTTTCCTGATCCCTGATCCCCCTGCTCTCAGATCCTTGCCAGGTCCAATCTTCCTTCCCTGGAATAGCACAAAGCAGCAGCAGCAGCAATAGAGGAAACAGATCCTTGACGAGTGCCGAGTGAAGGATTTGCTGTCCACCTCCAGCCTCTCTACATGGGAAGGAGGAACACAAGTGAGGGTACCTGTGGCACCCATGACCTGGTCAGAGGGACAAGACACGGAGCAAGAATTCCCATTCTACCCCACCCCACTCCAAAAGCATAGGCTGGGAAAGGTGGCTGCTAAGGGCCCAGACCACCAGACCAAGGCGCTCTTGGCGCCACCCCTGCCCAGGCCTCTGCTGGACATCTCTTCAGGTTCCCCACAGAGAAGCTAGAGGGAAAGACAGCCAAGGCTTGGAGAGCTGCTGCTCAAGATTCACATCCTCTTCTTCCTCATTCAGCCTCTTTCCCCGTTGGTACATGTATATGAACATGTATGCAATGTCCTTCTCTTATGTCATCCTCTCCACACATCTCAAGGTCAGAGGACCACAAGCAGGAGGGTTAAGAGGGCACCCCATGAAATGAAGTGGTGATTCTTAAATCTCTTCTCTCCAGGCTCCACGGTCAGTGTGGGAAGACTTGGCCTCAGGAGTGGGAGGATAAGACTGCAGAAGGGCTAAGAGTTATTTTATACGGGCTTTGAGGTCACCCATGTCATTAATTATCCATATACCCTATCACCATCCCACTGTCTACTCTGATGCCCCCAAGACTCCACTGGGCAGCTAGTTGGCCCCATAATTATGGGCCTTTATCATTTGTTTTATTACTTGGGCATCCCAGGAAGTTTTCTGACGATCCTCTGCCATGGGCCCCTCCTGGGATTGAGCCCCTCCCAAACCCCATCCCAGCCCCTCCTGCCCCAGCCCACCCGCTTGCCTTGGTGCTCAGCCCCCATTGGGAGCAGGTTGGGGCGAGCTGGAGGCCCGGGCTGGAGGGGCAGTGTTGCTGTTCATAGCTTTTGTTCCATTGGCGTTGCTCTGTTGGATTTAATTTCAGTCTTCCTGATTCTTCCCTTATGTAAAGTGTACATTACCAAGTTCCTTGTTTTTTTATATATATATATATATATAAATATATATATATACAAACTGTACTCTTTTTGCCTTTGTACATTCAGGCAAGAAGAGAAAAATAAATCTTTTTAAGAGACAATCACAAATCTGTGAGGGCTGCTGGTTATTTCTCCTGGAGTTTGCTGCTGAGCTGCCGCCTCCTCCCTCCTCCCCACCTTTCCATTCTCTCTCAGCTTTCCTTATCTTCCTGGTCCTGCTCCATATGCATCCTCAGCTCCACCTTCCCTGGCTGATGGCAAGTTGTTGAATCCCATGTCCAGACTACCTACTCCGCAATCCTTCCTGCCCAGCAGTGTTTTCCAGCTTGGCCACTGCCTTACCCAGGAGCTTTAACCTGTGCCCTGGCCTCTCCTGTCTTCCTTCCCCTTAGATCCCATTCACCCAAGTGGCTTTGGACTCCTGGGTATTCTGGGGCATCCCAGAAACCCTGGTTTTGGACACTCACCTGTAAAACTATGCAGCGGGGAGCTCTTTGCCTAAGAGTTTGCACTATTTCAACCTGCCTGGGAGTTAGAACAGAAAAAACCTCCCAATGCCAGCCTCCAGGGTGCTCTAATCCAGATACCAGAGAATCATTCCCTGCTGGTGGATTCCTATGGCTGCCCACCCGATCAGAACAAGCCCTAAATGTTTATGGGTCAAGAGCATTTGATCAGAATTTCAAAGGGTGGTACATTCTGAAACAGCCCAACCAAATCATTGTTCCACCTCTTGAACTTTCTCCTTTCCATGATTTTCTCCTCCCCTCCCCGTTTTTCCCCCTTTCTTGCTGCTTCCTTTTCTTAATTGAGTTTGGAATTGAAGTATATTTTTAAATTATTTGTATTTATTGAATAAAGTTTTTAATGTCCCTGTTCTTAAATTTAGACTAGTTTGCCTTTCACATTATCTCCCCTCCCCCACTCCATCATCCCCCAAAATAGTCTACCTTCTAAGTTGCGTTTTAATTGGAGTGCAGATTTTGGGCACCTATGTTTCTTTCCTCTTAGTGGCCTTATCTTTTTGCAAGGGAAATCTTAACTGAGTGTCTGGGTTTCTGATTTTATTCAATTCTGGCTGTATTTAAGAGGATCCACCAGTAGATGGCAGCAAAATCTGATGTGTTTCCTGTCCACTCTGCTAGCTTTGGGGATAATAAAGGGCCGAGTCTTGTCTTGGTTTTTCACCTGTCTTGTAGATTCCTTGGGTTTGACTTTAACATCTGAAACCTGAACTGCCTACATTAACTTGGCCATTGTTAGCATTCACGTAGATCTGCTCTAAATCTCGTGTGTTTCAGTCACTGCCTTTTTGCTGCCTCTAGGGGTTATCTGCTCAGTGGAGACATCTTCAGGTCCTTATTTCAATTGAATGTCTCTAGGCTGACCTTCCACTAATCACTGTGGAGGAGTGAAGGTGCTAAGCTCACTTCTTTTAATGAATAGCTTAGCACAGGTAGGGTCCAAGGTTAATGACTTGGCCCAGTGTGAAAACAAGCCTCACAAAGAACAATATTAAAATGGGCCAAAGACTCAAAGTAAAGACAGCCACAGTTCAGCAGCAGATAGGTCCAAAGCTTTAGGAGGTAGAACAGGCCCACACTTCACCTGAGAAAACAGAAGAGGAAAGAAATGGTAATAAGCCGTAAGAGGTCATATGTGAAGTGGCCCTTTCAATGCCACTGAGAGCTTATTCATCATCAGACTGGGGGTATGCCTCCATCAGGAGAATGGCAGCCATGCCTCAGGGCATTGGGCTCCAAAGTGGGGAAAACCATCTTCCTAAGGAAGGCGTGTGCTGCTTCCTTCAGACACCTCCAGGAATGGGAATGTCAGCTCGGTGCAAAAGCCAGAACCTGGTTTCAGGACCCAGCC